AAACGTGGAAACGCCGGCCGCGCGCGCCGATGGTTTACCATCTTGCGCAACAGGCCCGCTGCAGGCGCCGAATTCTTTGTCAAAGCAGTGTAGGAGGGTCGCGGGTGGGCCGCGGGGCGGGTCGCGGGTGGGTCGCGGGTGGATCGCGGGTAGGTCGCGGGGTTGTCGGGAATGTGTCGCCTTGTGGGTCGCAGGTGGAACGACAGTACCAAACAACAATACGCACATCTTCATAGTCATCTATACATACGCGTGCACGTGGCCAGAAAGAGTGAGAGAGATAGCTCGTGATAGAAGGTATAGAGGGATGGCAATCTGATATACCTATATATATATCTATATATATATATATATAATTATATAATTATATATATATATATATATATTGCAATGGCCTCCGGCCAGTGCCGCCGATCCAGGGGGCTCTGGATTCGGTGATCTTCGCGGCTCTGTGGCTTCCTCCCTCCTCGATTCTTACGGTTCTTTTTCTTGTCCTCTGCAGGAGGGGTGCTTGGAGCGTTCCCGGGGGGGGTCCGGGGAGGGTTCCGAGGGGAGGGTCCCGGAGGCGGTAGCGGCTAGATCTGAGGGGGTCCCTGGGACCCCCCGAAACATTCTTGGGATTCGCAATTCATTAAGAAAACGCCAGATGGGGGACCCTCCCTTCCCCAGGGGGCGTCTGGATGCGCAAATCATAAAGAAAACGCCAGATGGAGGACCGCTCCCCCCCCCTCCCCGGCACAGCCACCCTGGCGACCCCCCCCCAAGCAGAGCTGAAGCTCTTGCTTCGGCTCAGAGCTGAAGCACTTACGGAGGCTCCTTGTAGTTTCACACGCCGGATCGGCGGATATGTGCGTATAGTGATGTGGTGTGCGTGGTAGAGAGAGACAGGGAGAGATAGAGAGAGAGAGAGATGGAGAGAGGGAGGGAGGGAGGGAGAGAGAGAGAGAGAGATACAGAGAGAGGGAGAGAACGAGTGATAGAGAGAGAGAGAGATGCAGAGAGAGAGAGAGAGAGAATAATCAAATAGAGAGAGATAGAGAGCGAGAAAGCGATTCCCCAACATGTGTGGACACTTAGTGTGACCAATGATTCGGCTACGTAAGGGAATTGGATGGGCCATCCAAGGGCTCGACTGGTGCCCGCCCGTGGGCGCCTCTTAGGCGCCTCGTGCGCCGTGCAACGAACCGAGGTTTCGCATGCCGCCCGCCCGTGGGTGGGCGCCCGCGGGCGCTGCGCGGACGGCTCGGGCGATGGGTCGGTCTGCCGAGGGTGCGCACGGTGCCCGCCCCGTGGGCGGCGCCTCGCGCTCGCCTCACGAGCTGGGCCGGTCCGCCTCGTTGCCGCATCGTGCCCGCCCGAGGGCGCCTCGGTGCGGAGCCTCTCGTGCGCCGAGTGGGCCTGCCGAGTCCTCGCGCCGTGCCCGCCCGCGAGCGCCCCGAAGGGCGCCTCTCGCGCTTGGGCGGGTCGGCGGAGGTGCCCGCCCGGGGGCGCCTCGTGGGGGCCTCGCGGGCGCCCCGTGCGCTCGGTGAGTCAGCCAAGGTGGCGCCCCGTGCCCGCCCGTGGGGGGCCACGCTGGCGCCTCGTGCGGCGGGCGGCCGCATAGCTGGCACACCACAGCCTTCTCCAGGGGGGACACTTCAAGTGCACAGCTGCCCACAGTGGAGGCCCATGCCAAGACGCACCCTGCTCGCCTCCAGGGTGCCCTGGGTTTCTTGGGTTTCGATGGTTTTTTTGCGATGGCACGCATCACGCTCCCATGCCGAAGATCAATGGACGTCCTGGGATCGCGAGGTTGGGTTTCTTGTGGAAGAGCCTCTCCTGTACCCCCAATCATCCTTCCCCTCTTCTTTCCCCTTCCCCCTGGACCCCCCCATGGCCCGCTGGAACCCCATCAGAACCACCAGGACCCCCACAGAGCATCACACACGGTGCTATCACCGCCTGCTCCTTCCCACCCGTCGTTACCCTTTCCGTCTCCTCTTCCTCCTCCTCCTCCTCCGCCCACCCCTTCGCTCCTCCCTCCCCTTTGTGCCTTTCTCCTCCCGACCTCCTCCTCCAGCACTTGGTATTTCCGTTTGTCAACGATGCTCCTCCTCGCTTTTCTCTTCATTTTTTTCTACAGTGTCCTTTTCCGTACGGTGTTTCGTCGTCGTCGTCGTCGTCGTCGTCGTCGTCGTCGTATTTGTCTTCCTCCTCCCCCTTTCGTTATCCGAAGTTCTGATCCGCCTCGTCCCTCCTCCTTTTCTGTCTCCTCCTCGCTAGACATCCCGCGTCGCAAGCTTGTTCACACCGTGGACCCCCGGAGGTCTGGACCTCTTCCCCAGGGCCGGGTTTTCATTCCAGATCGCCTGTTGAAGGCCCCTTGGCTTGGGGAGGGCTCCCCAGGCCCGAAAATAACACCTGCACGTCCCTCGAGATGGATTCCACGTCCTTCTCTCCCTCCTCCTCCTCCTCCTCCTCCTCCTCCTCCTCCTCCTCCTCCTCTCTCCTCCTCCTCCTC